TGTATTGAGTGAAAAGTATATAAATTGAGATCAAGTTCAAATTTACCTTTTAGGGGAGGATATAAAATTTTCTAGCCCAAAGACTTAATGAAGCTCATAACAATAGCAGGGAGATCCAGTGTTCAAAATATCTCTTCCTCAAGTTGTGAATTGCTTCCAGTAGGTTGCAGCCATTCAGAATTTCCCATTTTGTCACATCCCATTTTTGGGAGTTATCACAGTCAATGCCCTGCTGTATCCTGAGTTTTTATCTGTTCATCCCCAGACTTGGTATATACAATCTACACCTCCTTAGCTATGTTTCATGCACCAGAGTTTAATCCTTAAAATGTTTGGTTCTTGTGTTATAACACCAACTTTGTCCAAAAAATCATGTGACATTACTTTTGATCAGTGAGTGTACATACACTAACACCTTAAACACTTATCACCACAGGTACGTGCTTGGTACTTCAAGTTCGGGTTTGTACAGTAAACAGAATTACCACACTTGTTTTGTTAGAACTTCAAGTAGAAGTTCAATCACTGTCCTGTATATTTTGTAAGACTTGTCCTAGTCTAGTAAGACCATTGGTACAAATGATATTGTTTTTATGTGCAGGCACAAGTATAGAATTCAAAACTTAATAGTTTTCGAAAGGAAACAGCTTTTACTAGGACTATCTTGGTGTTCTGGGATTGCATTCTAACTTTGTACAAAGAAATGACAAGGGGCTGTGCTTTTTGTAGACTTTTGTAACTCCTTTGAGCTTTTATTATGCCTCTGATTTGATCCAAAACTAGTCTTAAAGACTTTTCAAGCATGCTCACTTGGATTCCTCATAAATAGTAGAGAGCTCTCCTATTAACTGACAAGACAACCTTACAAAAGCTTAGTGATCCCCACTTAACACACTGGTTCTGGGCACACTTTGTGTACAGTTGCGGACAACTAAAGTCAACAAATTTATAGACCGATTTATTGAGACCAGTAGGGATTTTTTAAAAGTCCGAAAACCATCGGAATAGGCAGGAATTGAGTAGATCTTTCAAATGGTATGAGCCAATTTCCCAAAAGTGAAGATTTGTCAGAAAAAAGGTCCAAAATTTTGGTGCAGGCCCAAAAAAATTGATAAAATCTCGAAGAAGTCATTTTTGGATAGATCTTGATGAGTACTGTCAGAATCCACCAAAAGAATAAAAATAAAATAGATCCTCCCCTTTAAAAAAAATTGCTATTATGCTGCCTAAATCTAGAGGCTGTCCTCCTAAAAACATTGCAACCTTGCACACCTCCAAAATAACCCTTTTTTGACTTCCATTCCATTAGTGACATCATTTTCTCAAGGCCGTCAGACTGTCAGTGAGGGAGATGATGAGAAACTGATCACGAGATCTCGAGAGTCACATCCATTGCACAAGAAAATGAGGCAAGGGAAGCTGAGGATTCAGGAGAAGAGATGGATATGCAGAGAGTAATTGGGATGAGCTTGATTAGCAGGATTTTCCTGAGAGACTGGCTGAGATGGCAATGTAGGATTCAAAAAAAATTGGCTCAAAATTTTGGCACAGCCAAAAACTCATGGGAATAACATGAAAACACCATTTTTGAGCTCCTTTTGCCTGTCCAGTTTCAGATCTGTCGCCAGATTTCCGTCAAAAAATCTGGTTCCTGAGATACTCAATTTGTTGACTTTAGTTGTCTGCAACTGTATATCTGTGAAGAAAAGTCCTTTTAATTGATTACAAACTTATCTACTACCTTAGATGTTACTGGGAGTGCAACAACTGGTCATAGTGTTTTAAAGTCCAGTCTAGTCCGGTTATGAGGTAACTGGCAACCGCAACTGGACCAGACCGATCCAGATATCAAGGGACCGCAATCAGACCCTTTTAGACCAGTCCTAATCGGTCCACAACACAACAGAAACCAGTCTTTTGTTGAAAATTTTATTGCACCACAGAAACTAAATATTACCTCACATACACAGCATACATAGATCGATATTTTAATTTTCCGTAGACTGATCAAAAATGTAAGCAATTCCATGAAGATTTGACTGAGATATGGCAAAAACGGAAAGGATATACATTCAAATTGTGTATAAAAATGTTTTTGGCCATATCTCAACCAATTCTTGACTGTTCTTTATGATTGAGGGACCGAAAATTAAGTAAAAATGTGTGCAAGTAAGGTCCAACACATGATGGGATGAAAGACTAGTTGCAACCAGTCTAAACTGGTCTTTTTCAGTTTTTAAATATTTACAAAAACATGGCAACTGGCAACTGGACTGGCCACAAATGTGGGCAACTGCAACTGGAAAAAGACTGGACCTGCGAACACTAGCTGGTCAATATGGGGATAATTCCTTATGTTTCAGCCTGCGTGTGTCCTCCTTTTATACTATTTCTATGTGTTCCATCTTTAATTACATGTTTATGCTCAGCCCAATTGTAACAGACTATCTGTGCATTAAATGTGGGAGCTGTCAATGAAAGTCATATGGCAAGCTGAAATGGCAATGGTGTGAGGACCCAGCTGCAATCTCAGTCACAACTCGGTCCAAAGATGGAGAAAAGAGACTGGAAGCCAGTGGGGACTGTTATTACTTCAGAAATCCAAAGCTACAGCCCCTACTACCTCTTGGGAAATCCACGAGAGGCTGGATACAGATGCAAGGAAGGATATCAATGCAGATCAGATAAGATCTGCCCTAATCAATGGAGCTGGCACTTGCTCTCTTGGAGTAGAATGTCAGTGACTTGATAATAAACAAATAACACTTGCCTATCAGAGTGAACTACGATAAAACACCTATTCAAAGCAACAGATACAGTAGTGGTAGAGAAGTAAGAAGGTGAATTGTCACATGACTACTGACAGGTATGGAAGGGAGTCATGTGACACAACTACTAAGTAATGGAAAGTAAACAATATAAGAGAAGGGTAGGATCCCACATCCCTGCTACAGTCATTCTTGAATCTTGATCACTGTGTTGTCAACTGGTTTCCATCATCTCCAGGTACCTTGGTCATGGTCATACCCACATTGTGCTGAAGTCTCGACAGTGATTTGTTTTGTTCTGGGAGGCTGAGCTTTGTTGTTCATCAGCGAAGACAATGACAATGCTTGAATCATTGCTCTATAAAAGGGTCATTGCTATTCAACATCCATTGGCATGAGGTCAAGGGTTCTTAACTTGTTCATCTTTTTGAGTAAGTCTATCTTCATTTGTATAAGTCAGAATGGCAGTAGCTAACGGCTAACAAGTATTGACCATGGTCCCCACACCTTGTCTTCTGTAGTCTCTCTGTCTTGAACCCTCTCTCCCCCCTCTCTCTTTGTGACAATGCTATCACAACACCAAGAATAAAGTTGAGATTCACAAATGAATCCCTTTTCACCTAATTCCATTATGTCGATGACACATGACAACAACCCAGCTTTTGCACCATAAAACCCCTTCTGAAGAGGTGTTGTATCTCCTGTAAGCTAGCCCCTCACGCTATGCACTACCCTCTGCTGGACTAGTTGGGTAGACCTTTCACGGTCCACAGCTTCGAAGTGTCATAGCTGACACAGATATTATCGAGTGGCTGATCACAGCTGGCACAAGGGGCAAACAGGATCCATTGCCTGGTAAAGAGGTAATAAAAAGCAGATAATTATGTTAAATAGTTCATTCCACATTAGTGTCGAAAATGTTCAAATGAAAAAGATTCATTATTATTTTAACTTTGCAGTGACAAAAAGGTGATATCATGTATGTAAAATATTTATTGGTGGTTTGTTAGTGCAGGAATGACTGAGAAGCAAAAGAAATTTTTGCCAGGAAAGGAAGATAAAGAAAGACCCTGTTTTACCTTGGCAACAATGATGAGGCAAATATTTAATGTCATTGAAAGTTCTTTCTTGGTGGAAATCTGTCCTGTGTAGACAGGACAGATAACACTACTCACAGAGAAACCGTCAGAATTTAACCGAGTATATGATTCTGAGGGTATCTAGAAGGTAAAGGTAAAAGAAGGGGGTGCGTATGCAGGAGTAGATGATGGTACGTGGTTAAGAGAGGATCGCGTGTATGTAGGAAACCAAATAGTCTGGATGCCGATGCCAAACAACTGCCTGATGTGGTAATCCCAGGATTACACCCTCCCATGTTCTGAAAAAAAAATATACGTCAAAGCAAAACAAAAATCAGGAAAGGTTAGTAAGAAGAGTAAGTAAAATCTGAACGCCGGGTGCGTCAAAACCCTGTGGGAAAAAGCTACCGGCTGGCAAGAGCGAAAGAAAATCTACATAAAAAGCAGATCATCTGCGTGAGGCCAGCCAGGAGTCCAACGCTTTGCAGTCTTGAAGTTCGGAACTGGGTAACCACCTGTCGTGTTCTTGGCCATAACCGCGCCAACGGACCAGGTATTGATAACCGCGTCCGCGTCGACGTGCGTCCAGTATACGATCGATGTAGAATTCTTCGTTGCCGTCATCCGTGATGATGGGATCAAGTTCTTCAAAACGGCGGGATGGGAATAGGGTAGTATTGGATTCGACGTAAGGGAGGACCTCGGAAGTGTGGAAAGTCGGACAGATATTTGGGGAGTTAGGTAGATCCAAGGTCATGGTGGAATGTTCTTCATCGACGTCGATAACAGTGTAAGGGCCGTCGTATCGTGGCATGAACTTGGCCACACGCTTTTCGCCTTTAGCCTTGTATTCGTTACGTCGATGTAGCATAGATAGCCGCACACGTGAACCTATACTGAATGGAAAGGTTAGCGTCCTGTGCTTATTTGCTTGAACAGATTGGGAAATCTTAGCCCTAAGGAGGTTATCTTGTGCCTCGAGAACGTCTGTTTCTAAACATCTGATGACATGCCACGCATCGATGTCAGCGACTGTTGCAGAAGATTTGGCAGGCACGAGTGGTGGGATAACCCTAGGGCTTCGACCAAAACGGAGTTGGAATGGCGTAAAGCCAGTTGATTTGTTTACGGTGTTCATGATGTCGAAATGGACTCACGGTAAGGCGCGGACCCAGCCCATTTGGTTACGCTCAACGTGAAATCGCAGGGCTTGATTGACGGTCTTGTTAGTCCGTTCGCTTGCGCCATCCGTTTCCGGGTGATACGACGTCGACAGTTTCAATTTGATGCCAGTCAGCTTATGCAGGGCTCTCCAAAATCTTGAAATGAAGAGTTTGTCTCTATCGGAAACAATGTCAGCTGGTAGACCATTTTCACAATACCACTTATCGAAAAATAGGATTGCTAGATTTTCAGCCGTGATGTCTGTCCGTGTTGCGACTAACTGGACATCGCTACCTAAGCGGTCAGTGAACGTGATTATGCAGTTCTTGTTTTCATCTTCTGGTAGCGGGCCAATGAAATCGATTGCAACGGAATCGCCTCGTTGATCGGGTACTGGGAGTGGGTGCAGTGGGCCGTAAGGTTTTATTGTTGACAACTTGTTACGTTGACATTCAGGGCAGGAGGCAACGTAGCCCTGTTCCAAGTCCCTTCGCATATTTGGCCAGTAGTACGCCGTTCTCAGCGAGCCATAAGTCTTGTGGAAACCGAAGTGGCCGAGGGTGTCGTGGGCCAGTGCAAACAACAATTCGCGAAGGTTACCTGTGCGTGGTATGATTAGCCTTTCACCTATGTACCAAAGGCCATCACGTAAGACGAGGTTGGAGAAACTGAGAGCGGCAGAGGGTAACGTTTTACACCAAGCGTCTTCGGCATACCCGGATTTCACAGATTCAAGGAAATCTTTGTCCGCCGTAATTTTCAATGTTGCACTGACATTGTTTGATATTGCTGACACGTTAGCTAGCGATTTGGCTGCCTCCCAAGGGTTTTGTGATGAGGATAGGGATATTGAAGCCACAGCGCACAGGGTGTCGTCGTCCTCGCAAAAATCGTATGGGTGCCTAGCTGATGCATTAGCCGTTGAAGAATCGGTGTTGGTTGGTAAGCGGGAGAGTGCGTCCGCAACAGTGTTGTCATCCCCTTTGATGTACACGATCTTGGCATCAAATTGGGAGAGAAATTCCATCCATCGAGCTTGGCGCCTCGAGAGATCCTTCTGAGATAAGAAATTCTCCAGCGTTTTATAATCAGTGTAAATGAAGAATGGCGAGCCAAGTAGGTCCACTCGCCATTTTTTCAATGCACAGATAACGGCCAGTAATTCTTTTTCATGAACAGGATAATTCAGTTCAGTGCCCTTGAACGACATTGAATCGAAAGCGACTGGGCGGGCTGTTTCCCATGTAGGACCAAAGGAGAGTACGCTGCCAGATCGTTTGTCGCTCGCATCCGTTGTCACAAAGATCTTGTTTTCTGGCATTTTGTTGAAATCAATAGTTGTTAAGCATTCCCGCCCTGTTACAATCGCCTTTATCGCGTCAAACACGACCTGAAATTTTGGTGCCGTGCACAGCGGGAAATTTTTGTCGGAGGCTTTCGTCGTAAGTTCCGTGAGTACACCTGTATGTTCAGCAAGTGCAGGCAGGAAAGCGGAGATATACCGGACCAGTCCCAAGAAACTCCGGACTTCTGTAGCTGATGTTGGTGTTGGCCATGACATGATACGGTTGACTTTTCCCGAGTCAGCCTCGATTCCACGGGCACTAATGTGATGACCTAGGAAATTGATTTCGGTGCAGAATAGTTTAGTTTTATCTGGGTTGATGTACAGTCGAGCGTCACAAAGCGCTTGTAGAACCGCGCGAACATTCTTCTCGTGTTCTTCCACGGTGTTTGACCAGATCACGATGTCGTCCAAATAAATATGACAGAATTTGCCCAGGAGATGGCGTAGTGCAGCGGTAACACGTCGTTGGTGAATAGCAGGGGCATTCTTCAGTCCCATTGGCATCACAAGCCATTCATATAGACCTAATGGGGTGTTCACGGCTGTCAAATGAACGTGATCTGGGTGCATTCGCGTTTGAAAGAAACTATTGGTCATATCAATCGTTGCCCAGATCTTCCCCTTAGCGCAGTCTGTCAGAATGTCATCTATTCTTGGAAGCGGGTGGGAGTCTGTGATGGTGTTTTCGTTAAGTTGCCGAAAGTCATTGACCCACCGTGGTAGGACATTTGGGTTTGCCTTCGGAACGATAAATGCTGGCGAGGCGCAAGGTGAAGATGATGGACGGATACGACCAGCATCCAGATGTTGTTGAATCAATATCTGCCATGCCTCTTTATACTTGCGCGGGGATGGGTAGGAACGTGATTTTATTGTTTTCTCTGCGTCTTTTACATGAATCTCGGCGACCACTTCATGCGGTAATTCGTTGACATGTGGGATTGGTTCGAAGATTGTGCCGTATTCATTTTTTAATTCTGTTTCTTTTTGTAGCAGTGAATCTTGCATTGCTAGAACTTCAATGCGTTCTCGGACAGCGCCAACAACGTCAAAATCCTTAACCTTTTCCGGTTTAAGTTTGAGATGGTTAATCCTGTCATTGCAGACCATCATTAGTTCGGCGAGAACCAACTTTTTATCTGCTTTTGTGATTTTAATTTGTTCTTTCAACTTAGGTTTTGGCGGAGGAGGCGGCTTGATCACAGGGGGGTTTAATAAATCATACAAAGTATTTTTGTCTATACAAGTGCGTGCAGCGTGGTCTGTAACGATTGAGTTATGTATGAGCCAGGGCAGTCCGAGAATAATGGGGGCACAGAGACCCAGTGTGACAACGGCTCTAACGGTGCGCGAAGTCCAAGACGAGTCTAACGAAGTGAGAGAAAGTTTGACATAATGATACAACTGTGTTTTTTGCTTCTGATTGTTGAATGCGACGTCTACGAGTTCTGGTTCAGGCAGTTTATGTTTCTTCAATCCAAGGCAGTCTACGAGGTCGGGGCGAATGAGGACTAAGTGTGCGCCGTTATCAATCAACGCGCGCATTTTCACTGGGAAGTCTTCAGTCAAACTGTGCACCTGACAATTCCAAACGAGATGTTTGGCACGGAATGGTGGACTTACCTCGCGACGCAACACATCCTGATCCTCAACCGAATCGGAGTAATCTCCGGGGGAGTCAGGTAAAACTGCCGCAGCCGCAGAGATGTCGTCGTCGGAGTCAACAGTTTCAATGGATGCACTAGTGGCGGCGACAGCTTTGGTAGCCGGTTTGGTAACAGCTTTGCCCTTCTTGGCATTCATAGCGTCCGTGGCAGTCAGAGTTTTGTAGGTCTTGCCTGCCGGAAAACCATTGGGGCAAGAATGCGAGCGGTGGTCTGTATAAAAACGACGGCACTTGGTGCAACCGTCATGCTCGTTAAGGAGTGTGCACTCGGCGTCGGTAAGGGGGGGTAGATGGGTATATGTGGAGGAGGAGCCGCCTGCAGACGTGTTTGATTGTGATGTGTTGCCATGTCGCGACGGACCTTGCAATGCTTCATTGCTAGTGTTCTGGCGTTTGGATTGACGTTGAGTGAGTGTCTCCTCAATCAATTCATGTTGGCATTTGTTCTCAACAGCACGTGCTTTGTCTAATAGACGAACAGCAGTAACCCAGGTCTTGAAAACCTTGTCCTTGCGGGCATCACTGTGTCGGAGTTTAGTCTTCAACTCGTCGTCGAGATGCGCTTCCAAGTGGTTGCACAAGGTCGACTCGTCAAAAGCAGACGCCGTGCCCCGGAGTAGGCAGTTCAGTTTAAGCAGGTTTTGTGACCAATTCCAGAAGGAAGTTTTCGAAGCGGTGAGTGTCGACGTCAAAATCTCGTTACGAACTTGGTCTTCCCAGTCAGGGGGAAGGTAATTGAGTCTCATCTCCACCATAAACTTGTCAAAAGGTAGAGCAACAATGCGGGCACGGTCCGCAGCGATCCAATCACGAATACGAAGATCCTTGATACCAGGGATAACCATCGTGACCTGTTTGTCCGCTGGAATCGACTTCGACATGAAGAAATCAAGTGCTGCATTTTCAAAATCCATCATAACTGATGGAGAGATGTTACCCTGAGTGAGGATAGGTGCCTTGGCACTGGTAGGATCGACTGTAGCAAGTGTAGACATCTTGTTATGAGTTTTTGACTGAGTATATGCGCGTTTTTCGTCGTCAGAAGAGCTTGATGAAAGATAGAAAGACGATGCAGGAGAGGAGGGCGGCGATGTATGCGTATTTGGGAGAACCGGTGAAGCCGATGAGGCTAGCGGTGGTTGTGAAGGTAAACGATTGCCCCTCACGCGTGTGGTTGGAGCCAAACCATCAAGAATCGGTAATTGTTGGACAGAGGCAGTTGTACGGGTGAAACGAGGGAGTTCCAGTGTTGCGGTAAACGGTTACGGCGATGGCAGTTAAGTGATACAGGTACAAGTACCCTCCACTGTTACAGACGGAAAATCAGGGTTGATGTGTCGTGAACGACAGGAACAACGATCAGACGTACAAGACAGCGTGTACACGCGCCGAACAATGACCTGAATCAGGCCTCCAAAGGTGGTGACTATATGCGCGTGTCAAGATATGTCAGAACCGATAACGGCGGTGTAAATTCAAAAAAAGTGGAAATCTGTCCTGTGTAGACAGGACAGATAACACTACTCACAGAGAAACCGTCAGAATTTAACCGAGTATATGATTCTGAGGGTATCTAGAAGGTAAAGGTAAAAGAAGGGGGTGTGTATGCAGGAGTAGATGATGGTACATGGTTAAGAGAGGATTGCGTGTATGTAGGAAACCAAATAGTCCGGATGCCGATGCCAAACAACTGCCCGATGTGGTAATCCCAGGATTACACTTGGCACTGTAAAAAGCAATAAAGGAAATTAAAATTTACCCTCTTGGACAAAGGAACCATGAGAGATAATTTTAATTCTTTGTTTCTGTTCACTCAGGCCAGAATGATCTTTCAATGTCATTAAATAGTTGCCTCATCATTGTTGCCAAGGTAAAACAGGGTCTTTCTTTATCTTCCTTTCCTGGCAAAAATTTCTTTTGCTTCTCAGTCATTCCTGCACTAACAAACCACCAATAAATATTTTACATACATGATATCACCTTTTTGTGGTTGCAAAGTTGAAATTTTGATGAATCTTTTTCATTTGAACATTTTTGACACTAATGTGGAATTGACTATTTAACATAATTATCTGCTTTTTATTACCTCTTTACCAGGCAACGAATCCTGTTTGCCCCTTGTGTGGAGGAACTTGACAAGGAGATTGCTGTGGCTTAAGTGGTCAGGTACATTGTGGAATACCATTTGGAGACGGCCCATGCGCACACGTGCAAATGTCATAGTATTTTCAATGAATCTTGAACATGTTATCTCCATCTAACCCCTTGGAAACGAGGTAAAAGCGGAACGGCGCCAATTGTGAAACCATGATCAAGCGCCCACCACGCAGACGCCATCCATACCCGTCTTCAAGACTCCTTCGAGCCACTGCAGAGCAATCAGTCGGTCAAGTCCTGCCAAATCCCGTCGAAAATGGGGGAGAACAAATTCAACACCCCCAGAGCGTCATCGAAAACCTCTGGATCGCCAGCCGCAGCCACCGCTTCCTTGAGCTCTTCCTTCTTGAGTCTTGACTTTTCCTGCGTGATGTTCTCCAGAATACCTCGAGTCCTGAATTGGACCTTGGCTATCGATGCGGCGGTCAAGCATCCTGACGAGGTGGTTGGCAGCAGGGAGAACGTGGTGCGTGACGAGAACCTATGGTGGGGAATGAACAATGGAGGGCGATCTCTGATGGACAAGCTTACAACTCTTCGATTTGCGAGCGGAGGTCCACACAGGAGTTTTTCGTGCAAGAATCTGAACGTGTCACTGTCCTACATGCATAGATGCGATCAGGTTCAGTCTGGTAGAATAAAGGTGCAACTCACAACAGCACTAATGGGGTCATCTAGTAGAAGATATTTCTTTTCTGACCTCCCAACAAGCCGACACCCCTGGCCCCAATCTCCCTTGCATCCCCATCCTCCAAAATCACCAAATCAGGTTTCAGAGCGTAACACTCCAGGATGGCATGATACCGCTCCTCATCAAAGAGGTGTCCGAACTGGATATTGTCATCGACAGACTGGTGCCTCACCCACGGAGATCGAACAACGTACGAAACGGCAGGCATGTCTCCATCCTCGTTGATCCCTGAGTTCTTGGAAATGACGATCTTGCTTTGTTGTAGTGTCATCTCTCCAAGCAGCGCCATCTACATACCAAACGAGCGAGTAAGACAAGGCGGAGAGTGGAGGAAAACGACGACATACAAGAAGAGCCGTTTTCCCGGATAATCCACGGAGCTATCATATAACGAAGTTCGTCGGTCTTCAACAGCGATCCAGAGTCACTGGCGGCGGGAGCCGCAGTTTCAACATCGTCATAGGAGAAGGTTGGGCTTGGAATGTCACTTGACGCGCTTGGGCTCGGAACCCCATTCTTCGACTTATCCTGTTCCTTTCTGTTTCTCAAAATCAATCGCGTTTTCCGGCCCCAAACCTTCCTCATCTTCTCCGCCAGTGAGGTGGGGCTTTGCCTTTAAGTCCTTCTGCAGAGAAGTTACTTGGTCCGTAATTTTTTCGTCGTGGTGTACAGCAACATGTTTGAGGGCGACACCAGTCTGTTTGATCATTTATCAGAAATTTGGCCCCATGATGAGATGAGCCTGGCGTACCTGGAGGATTTGGACGATCCATGTTGGAATAACGCTCAGGGGAGCTCTACCCATCCCAAAAAGTGCGATAGCCTATAACCAAAACCCATCGGCGATGGTACCGTATAGGTGAAAAGACAGAGCCCACCATAAATGGGACACTGATCATCCTTGCAAAACAAACACGAAGAACGTGACAATGGATACCAAAACACACGTCCAAAGGGGGTAAAGCACGACGGAATTGACACCAGCTGGGAAGTGAACATTGTCAGTGATGATAGGCCCACGCCATGCTAGAATCCGCACTCTTGATCAACCACTTCATCTCAGCCTCCCTCGCATCCAACGCTCTCCCAGTTCAACGTTCTTCCTACGCAAAGAACGTCATGAATTGACCTGCGCCCCACACGTCAGCCATTGATTACAAGACTAAATGGAGTCAGATGGACATACAGCACCAATGACCCATTCGCTTGTCCCTTGCAGCCAACACGCCCTTCTGGATCCGGACACCCCGCCTCGCGATGATGCTGTTGAGAGGCCATCCCGCCAATAGCTCCAGCCTAAGAGTCTATCGATTGTTTTTGTGTAAGTTATTTGTTCCTGAGTGAGGGATGAGGGCAAGAACTTACTGGTACAGGAACACACAAGCTGAATCAGGATCTCGAATAGTGCTGCGTTGGTTGTGTCTCGGAGGGGGGGGGGGGTAAAGTGCCTCTGTAGATGAAATAAAATCTTGATATTGGTTTGTGAGATCTAATGATTCTGTTCCCTGAGCTGGTGTCGGGACGACAAAGAAAAGGGTATGACTGACGCGATGAACATCCTCAGCCAGAAGATTAGCGATCTTCCCCACGTCCGCGCCAGCCTTTGGATCGTCCGCTTTCGCAGCCTTTTCCTTTTTCTCAGCTTAAGTCTTGCCTAGATTTACCATCAACGCTGCCCCACGGATACAGAACAGGTGAATACACACGTTTTCCCGTTGTCCTCCGTCGTCGTTTTATCTTTGCCCTTCTCCTTGTTGAAAACACCCGAAAAATCCTTCCCCTTCAGCACCTTGTTATATATCGCCGCCATAAGCTTAGATCTAAACCTCTGGATGCGCGTCGTGCATACCAGAGGAGCTGCACATCAGCCCGGGCCTTGAGTAGCGTGCATGGAAATGCCAGGAAGGCGTAGATGTACTCTCAAGTCTGGCTTTATAGAGTAGGGTACTCCAAATCAATGGCGTCGAGGACTCATCTTGAAAGTTGGATAGAATATCAAGGAAGGAAGGATAGTAGGAGTACCAGTCGTACTTACTTGAGGAGGAAGGGGTCTGCATAGTTGAACACTACGCTCACAAAAGTTAATGAGAAATCGAGACTGGCGCAAGGTCAGCAGCGAAAAATTAAGGGGAGAAGGGGAGCGTACATTAAATCAGGAAAGTTGGCGGTCCAACGGCGACGCAGTGTTGACTCTATTGAGCTGAAGATCGGGCGCCATTTCATGGTTGGGCTGAGGTTTCAGACCTCACTCTCATGCATAGCATCACTGCCCAAGTCGACGAGGGTGACAGATCGGCCCTGTCTGATGTTAGCCATTGTCAAGGAATCAATGGGCTTCTGCATGATCTCAGATGGACTGTTGAGGTTGCTGGGAACTGCGAGAGGCGTGGTATGAGACATAACAGGCCGACGACTGCAATGAGGTTTAAGGAAAGGGCGAGAATGGCGAAGGGATGCGGATATGGGGTGGAGAAGACAGTGTGGTCGTGAAGCAACCCGCCAATATCGAGAATGGAGGAGCGGAGGAACAGGAGGTAGACGGTGAACATTTCATATGGTGGTGTAGCCGTCGGACGGACAATGGGTCGTCGTATGGCGTAAATTTATGATGGCTAAGATCAAGTTTGGCTGATGTCGTAACTCTCAATCACGTATAACTCAAGTCTATGTATTCCAACACACTTACTACCCAGGTTGATACGTGGTGTAAATTTACTGGGCCAGGGAGTAAAAAGAGGTTGAAATGAAAAACAAAACAAACTATTGAAGGAACGGTCCGTCATCTTGGTTGGCACGACCTGGTAAACTTACTTCTCTGAAACGTCGCCCAGAAATTGATCGGTTTCCAACTTGTCTGCGTCTTCCTGCAATAATGTCACGGCTCTTGGCTGTCCAGGGCGTTCATTATCATAATCCTGCAGTTGCAGCCTTCCAGCTGGATACTCTGCAGTTGGATCCCAAGGGTCCTTTGGATTGGCCACTCTGCCTTCCTTAAAAATCCCCGCCGTATCAAGTTGGAATGCTATGATTGCAGGATTTGAAAACCACGGATGTCGGTAATGACTCTGCCAATAGGCGAAGGCGATGCCACATAGCAAGACCCCCAGATGCAACCCAGCCCAAATGTAGACCCTCGTTCGAAAAATGGTGGCATGCGAAGCAGGGATGGAAAATACCACATTTGTCTGGTTCTCTGGACCCAGATCACCAAGTTCAACAACCAGGTATGACCATGCGGATTGATAGGCCTGTGAGACATATTCAATCGCATAACTTTGAATGTCAGACACCTCGACGTCCGTAGGACTAGCGGACAAAAAGGAAACTGTATAGCTTTTGATCAGATAGAAGTATGATGCGACTGCCGGGGTTATTGCCAGAGCCTCGATGGTCAGGGGATCTGGAACGGGTTGGAGGTTTGCGCCGTACAGATTTGCCTCAACGACGGCAGGCGCGACGACCACGCAATCCTGACAAATTGCGGCGCCTGCTGTATACGTCACATTTGCAAATGCGAAGCACGAGTAGTACGTTGAGTTGAGAGTTAGAGTGAGGTAGAGGTTGACATGGGGGGGTATGGATAACCCGGAGGCACTCGCATTACAAATTGGATGGGATAGGTCTGCAAAAAGGACTTGCATGCTGAGAATCCGAGATTCAGTCACGTTGACGGCACCTGGTAACTTGAGGCTAGAACCTGGACCCCAAGAAGTGTCAGGAAGGAGCGCAGCAAATCCCCGGTCATTGTTGTAGGGGTTGTAAACACTAGTATCATTGAGCAACAATTTCTGCTGACTCGTGAGGGTGGTGTCAGGATCCGTGATGTATTCAAACTTATCCACTCTGAAATACGGCAGACGGACGGAATCCAGCGTGGAACCAACGGGAAGATATCGAATAGTGAGAAGGCCTCCCCATTGGATAATAGGACGTCTGGTGACATATGGATTAGCAGCATAGGTGACCGATTCAATCGCCCCTCCGCCGTCAATAGCATCGGCCGAACCGAAAACGGATGAGTTTCGATAAGTGGAAATATCGGTCCCGGCTATTCCCTGCGGGATGTTCGTAAGGGGAACTGACCCCTCCACCATAATGGAGGAGAGTTGCCAGGTGACAGATCCCGTCAGGATAGACGAGAAATAATCCATCCCGAAGCAGATGAAGATAATGAGGTAGGCGAGAAAGACATTTTTTCGGTTCGCTACGTCGCGAGGCCACAGCAGCGTCATTATTCCACCATCGACGACTTTGGAGAAGCCGGCTATCGTAATTTCACCCTTCTCCATGAGCATAAATGCATACCGCCAAAGAAGCTTGGCGGCCCAGCACGCAGCCGCCGCGCGGGTGGCACTGGCTGCGAAGGTAAGCGCGGTTGTGATGTCGGACTGCAGGGGTCTGTAGGATTTGATACCAGCTTCAGTCTTTAAGCCATTGAGGTCCACGAACTGAGGCCGACGATGGTTGAGATTGTAGACCCTACCTGGGAGATCGATGGCATAGAGGGTCACGAAAGTGACGAAAATGGTCATAAGAAAGTGAAAAATGAAGGGCACAGCCTTCTTGTAGGAAAGTATCCTGAGGACGGCATAGTTAGCTCCAATGTGACGCGGCAGAGGTGCTCCTTACATGGCTTCCAGGATTTTCATTTTGCGCGATTGCGTTCCGTGTCACGTTGTCCGCAAAAAAGATACGTTTAGAGGAAGTATCGCGTTACTCAGAATCTAGAGCAGGGACAAGATGAAGAACGAGGTCAATGACATAGCGCTACTTAAATACAAAAACTCAACTGTGGACATCCACCTGCAGGCTGCAGTTCATCAAAATTCACAGGGACACTTCTCAGCGCTAGATTGAGTGCCTGAAAGGCACCTCTCACGCTGTGATCCCAAAAATAGGTCCACAGCATGCCAGTTCATACTGTTATTGCAAGAGCAAGAAGTCCAAGTTCATAACATTGGGAATGGGAGCTTGACGCGAACGGGAATTGTGCGAGTCCTAAATGTAATATAATCGCAAACGGGGCACGGCGTCCAGTTCGCATTGCCTGCAACACGAAAGATAAAGTTGGCTTGATAACATTGTGAGGTCCAATTCCCATTGTTCTCCGGGCCGCATTTCCTGATGAGATATGTAGATGAAATCCATATCTGGAGAGTCACGAGTTGTCCTAAACGGGCAACGTGCTCTCAGATGCAAACCGGTTCGAAAATCCGGTTGATCGAGGGGAATAACCCATTCGATCTACGTGACCAGGTAAGTGAAGATGGCGCCAAGGATCACATTAGTTGCCAGGCTGCAATGTCACCAGAGCCACCACTCTTGAATAGGTCGGTATGCATGTTTTCATCCCCATCTGAATGAGTAGTAGCTTTTTCGATATTCCGTTGCATTCCAATGACAAGCTGCAAATGGGGATTCTGACCTGTCTGAAAAGATCAACGATGTCGTTTGGGCCAGCTGTACATTGGTGGACCAGTCTTATAGGGAGGTAATGAGGCAGAATTCCAGGAATGTCGACGTCAGGCCTGATGCTTCTCAAGTGCCAAATAAGGCGGTAGAAAATGAGTTGGGATCGAGGCGGACAGTCGCACTCTCACCAAGTTCATGGTAGTTTCAAAGACAGCGTCCTGCATCTGCTCTCCACCACGGATGTGCTATCATGCATCGTTATCTTGTCGTTGGCTTCGCTTAAGGTGGGCTCGGTGTTGCCGAAGAATAGGGATTGAAAGAGAACCCAACGAATAGGCCCGTATCGAGTTTTCGGATAGGCGATAAGGGAGAGAGAGGCTTGAGGGACCTTCAAGGCCAACGAACTCCCTCTGTGGTGGGTCTTCTTCGGAAACTCTGGTGCCTTGGCGCTAGAGGTGGTGATTCGTTGAATTCGACACAAGTCGAGGATGTCATGTTCGACGTGACTTCCACAGCACTGTCAACCTCCCAACCATCATCAGCTTTCCTCTTGCTCGACGCAGCCTCCTCACACATCCTCCTCTCCAGGTCATTTGAAAGGTCCTGCTCAAAAAGACTTGCCTCCCTAGCCAACTTGAGGCTCTCCACCTCCCTCGCGAGCTTTCTGTACTCGCGGCTCCATTCCCCCATCAACTCCAAGATCTGATGCTCATGCGCCTCCTTCTTTCCAACAACCCGGTTGCTCTCCTCCAACTCTTGAATAAGATCCTTCACAAACTCCTCTAAAAACGGACATCCAACACCATCTGCTTCGTTGCCCGCGTAACAGCAGCCACCCTCGACTACTTCATTTCCTCTCGAGCTCCTCGATCTGGTTGGAGAGCAACAGGCGACCGCAGAAAGCCTTTAATGCATCGGAGCATTTCAACGGTTTGGCGGACTGGAGTGTGTCTCGGAGGTTTTTATCTCTCGCTGTTGTTTCCAGACGCGGTTCATGAACAAAAGCCGCTCGCAGAAGTTAGAGAGTGCTGAGCTGACGGCGTTAGGCATGCCGTTCTTACTAGGAGGATGTTGGGCAGACATGATCGCAGGGCGGGCGCAAGGAGTGTTATGATGACGCGCAAAAAAGTTTCCCTTAGTCCACACCAGGGGGAGGTTACACGGAGATGGGAGTTTGGAGTGCATCTTCTTTTCTAGCTGTTAATCGAGCTCTTTGAAGTCTGCGAGGGCTTGGTTGGCTCTGGCTGCGAGATCGTGAGGGTGTGGTACCGCTGCAGATGAAGGTGGTGTGCGCTGCTGCGTTGCGGGTGAAATTCTGGTAGGAGCGCAGCTCAGTTGGGGCAGAGTGAATTCCTAATCTTGGTATTGAATGCAGATTAACAATGTCAGGATTTGCTCAGAGTGCTTGTACCCATGGCTGTAGTCCGATGCTGAGTGGAAAGAGAGGGGAACTTCGTGAGGGATTGGCGCCCTTCAACTGTACCCACATTGAAGTTTGAGCTTCTACCTGTTGGCATCAACATTTCAGGGTGATTTACAAGGTTTGGTTTAGACGGGGCTTGGGCTACAAGACATCCAAATATTAACAGCCGGATAATGTGCGAGGGAAGGGCGTTGTCCGTACCTTACGTCCTTTGGTGCGTGGTGTGGATGAACGCAGCGTAGAAAAGGTTATGGATGAAATCGTACAAACGGGCTGGAGCACGAACGCCTACGAACGCGAAGCAGGCAGCTTAAAGGCGACTTCTTTGTCCTATGTTCGTTGATCTAATGTCGCTGAATGAGGGACGAATCGACTGCAAGACATCAGCATCACGGTCACTGCAGAAAAGAAGACATACCACATACCCTCAGTCCCCCACCAGACGACGCTGTTCGAACTCATCGTTCACGACGGACATCTCTGTGTGCGTGAATGCATTTCTGTGACGTTAAGTAGCCCGTGGCGCAAAGAAGCGTCGTCATGAGCCGCACATAGCATAGAGGATATGCCGGGATCTCTAGGGGACTCGAACAGGATGTATGTGGCGTTCGTCTTAAAATTGAGCCGCGTGAGTAGGTTATCGTTCGTTGGGGGGCATGTCAGGAAATGACTGGAACGGTGTCAATGATGCCTCACGATAGAAGCAACTCTCGTGCTTACCTTCTCGGTCGTCGTATACCTCTCCTGCCTAACGTACGTTTGAACTCCTCCCAACCTTGAGATGCCGCCGCCGAGCAGGGATTTAAGAGTAACCTGCGGTTATCGTATGCCGCAAGCCAAGCCGTTGGGTGAGATCTTGAGAAGTGAGAGTGGCAATTCCATGACGTTGCCGGATAGTGTTGGTCGTGCACTTGGGTTTGATTATGGTTGCCCAAGAACGCCACCGTTCCATAGATCTGCGTCGGTAGCATAGTAATGTCCTTTCCCCATCCAACTGAACCACCAGGTCTCGTTGGCCACCCAGATTCTCTACTCCCAACAGTCACTCTTCTCAGACCGGAGAATATGTCATCCCCGCTCGAACGTCTTCGATCGACGACACAACCCAGATGCATGACCCAATACCAGCTCAACGCGTACAAATTCAACATGATCATCCCCAGCCGGTAGTCTATCGGTCCTTCGAGCTTTCAATATGCGAGAGGGCTGTTGAGGCGGATCCCCGACCAGGGGATAAAGGTCGACTCTTCGGATTCAGCACGCCTATCCACCTATACCTCTCCACCAACTCTGGCGGTGCGTACCTGAGCACGCCTCACGAGGGTCTTCCAGCGTACGGCACCACTGCCCCATCACGCCCAGCTCAACAAACTCCGCAGACACTTCATCCTCGATCTCATTGCTCGCGTTTCCGATCCATTTCGACCCAAAATTGCAACCTCAATCCGCCTCCACTATCACATTGGACTTATCCAACCTCCGCTCGTTCGTCCACTGTTCTCGCCATTCCTCCTCAAAATTTGCAGAGTGGTGTTGACGATACAGAGCCAGTTCAAAGGTTTCGGGCTCAACGTCACAGAGGGTCGTTGCTGATGCGCTGTCAGCATCATGCACTCTTTCAACCAACGTCGGTGGAGGAACCTTTTTAGGAAGACGGCAATTTGAGCGAGGGGATGGTTAAGAGGCGTCAGACAAGACCTCGAATCATGTGGAAGTTGATTGAAAGGGAAAAAGATAAAGCGAGTGGGATACCAGATATATCCGGCCGCGTGGTGACTTCGAAAAAAAGGGAAGCGCTGGGAACACAGAGGACAGAGGACACAAGGTACTTACCAGATTCATTTCCTTGTGGGACATTTTTGACGCCAGCGCTGTAGCTGCAGTTCTCCGACGCCGCAAGGGCCACAGGTTGCTTCAAGTAGTGCTTGAGAATACTCGAGGATGCCTCACCATGGTCTTCTAGCAGCTTACGGCACCGCTGCCTCGTTGGACTTGTCAAAACTCGGCTCGTGTCCCCTGTACTCGTCATTCCTCCTCAAAAATTTCGGAGCGGTGTTGACGATACAAAACCAACGTTTGTGAGATCTAGTGATTCGATTTTGTGAGCTGATGCCGGGACCAAGAAAAGAGGACGACTGACTCGGTTAGCATCCTCAACCACAAGTGTTACGATCCTCCCAACATACGCGCCACCCTTTGGATCGTCTGCTTTCGCAGCCTTTTCCTTTTTCTCAGCTTGGGTCTTGCCTAGATTTACCATCAGCACTACCTCACACATACAGAACAGGTGGATACACACGTTTTTTCGTTTTCGTTGTTCTCCGTCGTCGTTTTATCTTTGCATTTCCCCTTCTCCATACTAACAACGCCCGAAAAATCCTCCCTTTTCAGCGCCTTCATACATCGCCGCGATTCAATCGTCGTGCATACCAGAGTTGCTGTACATCGGCTCGGGCCTTGTGCACGTAAATGCCAGGAAGGCGTAGACGTCTCGAATCTGGCTTTCTGAAGTGGTACCCCAAATCGATGGCATCGAGGATTTGTCTTGGATAAGAGATATCAAGGAAGGAAGGATAAGTGTACCAGGTGCACTTACTTGGGGAAGGAGGGGCCTGCATAGTTGAATATTACACTTCAAATGTTAATGAGAAATCGAAGCTGGCGCAAGGTTAGCAACGAGAAATTAAGGGGAGAAGGGGAGCGTACATTGAAAGCGCGATCCCATGGTTAGGCCAAGGTTCCAGACGTTACTCCCACTCAGCGTAGTATCACTGCCCAAGTTGACGAGGGGTCCAGAGGGAAGTGAAGACTTGGATAAGATGGTGTAGCCGCGAAGCAACCCGCCAAGGAGAATGGAAGAGCCAAGGAAGAGGAGGTGGATGGTGAACAGGTCATGTGGTGTAGCCATCGGACGGGCAACGGGTCGTACGACGGTGTACAGCCAGACACGAGCAATAAGGGAGAGAAGGACACCGCTCTGAGCCTGATCATTGCTTGACTACGAGAGAACGGTCAATGGTTGGGTGAAGAGTACTAAGCAAGCGACGGAAATTTGAAGATCGTGCATGATGGTCAAGGTCAAGTTTGCCTCATCTCGTAAATCTCAACCGTAGTACTTCACATACTCAGTACCAGGACAGTTATTCATAAGGTTCGCATTGACATTCTTCCTTCAATTCAATACATCGTCTTCCCCTCTAGATACAATGCCAACACCCGTTCATTCTCATTCGCATACGAACGTACTTCCCCATCCAACTGCGCTACCAACTTGTCTCTTCAACAGACCACAGGATCTCCAACCTCAGCAAACAGCCTCCCCGTGTCACCCGGCTCAATCCTCTCTTTGACCGATGACACAACCAGCTGAGCCTCCTGGAATTGAACACTCCCTTCCCAGTCGACATCGACTCCTTATCCTCCGCTGCGCCCGCAACCCCTTTCTCCACACCCCCACAGCCTCGTTCACCTCCCAAGGCCTGTACAGCGCGCACCAAATCAACAAGATCATCTGCACTTCTTGGTCTTTCTATCCTTCGAAATTTCAACGTCCTGTCGGGGAGGGTTGTTGAGCCGAACCTGGAACTAGACGTTGACTCTTCGCATCCACGGTGCGTTGGTGCTCGGCGAAGGAATAACGATGTATGTGGAATTTGAGGTGAGTTGCATGTCGTGGCGTTCAGAGCCTGGTAACAAGAATGGTGGCGATAACAACCTGGACATGGACCGTCCTCCTCAACACCCACCCTCCTCACACATCACTCCCCAAGCTGGTCATTGCAGAGAGGGGGTGCATTAGCATCGCGAAGGGGGTCTAGGTTGTCGTGGGATTGATTCGAGAGGAGGAAGTGGACTCAATGGGGTGGGTCCACAGTTTTGCCAGACAACTCGTGCATCCTTAGTTTGTGTTCGGTCGGCGAATTTGTTCACGAATGTATTATGTAGTCTGACCTGGTTCAAGGGGAGGTCAGGGCCATGACAAAAGGGGCGATTGAAATGATGCTTGAATGTTACCTACCTTCAAATCGACCTATTTCAGGGAAATAAAGGTGAAATCCAAGTAATTCTTCGAAGTTTGGGACTAGAACAAATACAAGGTTAATTGCTTGGTGTGGCGTGAAGGAGGGTGATGGTACTGGGTCTACGTGGTTGGGCGGCATTAGCTTCAAGTAGTGCATGTGTCACTAGCAGTCCACCTCTATCTGTTTTTGAAGGAAACGAAACCCGATTAAGCACGGCCAATCGACGGAGTAAATATGTATATTGGCAGTCGAACCGACCCGCTAAGCCACCGCGCATCAACTCCATCTTTGAGAAAAAAACGGTTTGTAGCTATAAAAATGGATGTTCAGAGAAGGGCGAACTCGACGATGATCAGCCCACTCACTTTGAGAGATCTGTTGACACGAAAAAAAAAAAGAGACGGTAAGATTGCGTACCGACAGCAGTCAAATCTGCCATGAATGCAGCAGAGGCTACTAGGCTCCCACGTTCGTCAAGTGCACTGGCACTGATGAAGCACCCACCATCAGCAAAAAAGCGCGTCCGGCGCTCACAGCGGAAATCATTATCTCGTCGTGAGCCCTGTAGGAGACAACATACAAAGGTGAGCCAGCCCACCAAAGACAGTAAGCGGGGAATGAGAAAGACGAAGGCGAGGATTTGGACTCGAGAAGACTGGAGAGAGAGAAAAGCCCCCGCACGTGTTCGCATGTAAAAATAGAAACAGGCACACGCCTCGTGGCATCATTGGCGGTCTCCTGCAGTGGGTTTGGGCACTGTTCTTTCTTCCCCCTCATCCTGAACCTCCATCTTCAGTATCTCAACATGAGCGGAACAAGTTCCTTTACGGGCGCTCACCACTTCGTCGCTAGAAACAATGCATTCATTGAAGCTCAAATTGTGAGTGGAGTGTTTATGAAAGGTATCCGTGAACGTAACGCAAACTGATGGCGTTGTATCTGTTGCAGGTGAACATCCACAACAATTATGGCAATAGGACGCTGTCTGATGGGGTCATCCCCCTTAGGCCAAATCCAAGCACTCGCTTCACAGGGCGTAAAGAAGTCATTGCCAAACTCAAGAGCCATTTTTTTACCACCATGGATAATGCAGTTAAGAAGAGAAAGTTCTTCCTATTAAGTGGAATGGGGGGTATTGGGAAGACTCAGATTTGCTTGAAGTTTGTTGAGGAAATGTCTGACAGGTGAGCACTGATTACACCTGGGTCTGTCTGATTATGTCTGAATAAAGTTGAATTGCCCCCAGCTTCTCTCAAGTTTTCTGGGTTGATGCATCCTCCTCAGGTACCATTATGCAGGCACTTAAGGGCATCAGTCAGTCTTGTGGATTGGATGGATCACCTGAGTCTGCTCTTCAATGGATTGGCTCTCTGAAAGACAACTACATCCTGATCTTTGATAATGCTGATGTTCTGTCACCTTCTGAACTAGAGGGGTATTTCCCAACTGGAATGAGGGGGAACATTCTGATAACTAGTCGTAACTCTGCCATGATGACTCTGACTTCACCTGAGAGTTCTTTTGAAGTGACTGAAATGGAAGAAAGAGATGCTATTGGACTACTTCTCAAAGCTAGTTGCTTGAAATCACCCACATCAGATGTTTGGACTCAAGCCCCTAAGATTGTAAAGAAGCTCTTCTGCTTTCCTCTTGCTATTGACCAAGCTGGTGCTTATATTGCTTCTGGGGCTGCCACTATTGGAGACTACCTTGCAAAATATTCAGAGCACCGAAAAACATTATTATCCCATCCTGAATTTACTGGAGCTTCTAAGTATAACAAAACTGTCTATGAAACTTGGGAGCTGTCATACAGAGAAATTGAACAAAGGGCTAAATCTGATGATTCTTGTAGGGCCAATGCAGCCAATAGTGCAATGCTACTCCTGGAATTATTTCCTTTCTTCCATCATGAGGGAATAACTGAGGAAATCTTTTCTTATGCTGCCCTTCAAGAATATGATAAAACTTGTATGCCAAATTTACCCCTTGCCAGTTCACTGCTGGACAGACGACTTCTTCCTCTTTGTGAGACAGGCACTTGGGATAATTTCATATTCAGAGAGGGGATTCGAATATTACTGGCTTTCTCTTTAATCAGACGGGGCCCATCTGATAAGGTGTATGCAATGCATCCACTGGTTCATGCCTGGGGCAGGGACAGATTGACTTTGAATGAGAGGGAAAAATGTTGCTTAATGGCATATGTCACCTTCTCTTGTTCATTGAGATGGGATACAGACCAGCAATATGGATTCCAAAGGGCCCTGGTCACACATGTGAGAGCAAATATGGAGCATTTCAAATCAGAAAGCAATCAGAATATTATCAGTTATATGGATGATGCTTATGCAAAATTTGGGAGGCTGTTGAGGGAACAAGGATATTCAAAGGAAGCAGAAACCTTGGACAGTAAAGTTCTGGATAAGAGGAACAAAATTCTTGGAGTGGAACACCAGGAAACACTTTTTGCCATGGCAAGTCTTGCATCAACAAATGAAGAGTTGGGAAAATACACAGAGGCAGAGAAACTGAATATCCAAGTTCTGGATGCAAGAAAGAGAATTCTTGGAATGGAACACCCAGACACAATCGGAGCCATGGGAAATCTAGCAGCAACATATCATTGTATGGGAAAATACATGGAGGTAGAGAAACTGCAGATCCAAGTTCTGGATGCAAAGAAGAGAATTCTTGAAGTGGAACACCCAGACACAATTCTTGCCATGGCAAATCTAGCATGTACATATGAGTACTGGGAAGATATACAGAGGCAGAGAAACTGGAGATCCAAGTTCTGGATGCAAGGAAGAGAATTCTTGGAATGGAACACCCAGGAAACACTTTTTGCCATGGCAAGTCTTGCATCAACAAATGAAGAGTTGGGAAAATACACAGAGGCAGAGAAACTGAATATCCAAGTTCTGGATGCAAGAAAGAGAATTCTTGGAATGGAACACCCAGACACAATCAGAGCCATGGGAAATCTAGCAGTACATATCATTCCTGGGAAAATACACAGAGGCAGAGAAGCTGGAGATCCAAGTTCTGGATGCAAAGAAGAGAATTCTTGGAATGGAACACCCAGACACAATTCTTGCCATGGCAAATCTAGCAGCAACATATGGAAACCTGGGGAAATACAAAGAGGCAGAGAAACAGATGATCCAAGTTCTGGATGCAAGCAAAAGAATCCTTGGAGTGCAACACCCTTATACCATTCTAGCCATGGAAAACTTAGTGCTACCCTTAGTAGTCTGGGGAGGCACAAAGAGGCAGAGAAGTTATTCATCCAGGCTCAGGAAGTCTCAAATGGAGTATAATCCCACTACACAACTGCCACTATGACCAATGCCCAAGATGACCCAGACACTTAACTTCAATACTGAATTCAACAAAAAAAGGTGTGTAGTGAGGTTGATTAAATTTTTTCATGTTGATATGTTAGTGCATTGTTTGTCCAATCTTGTAATGAAATTTTCAATAATCTTGTTTAAAATGGCACATTCATTTCATAAGAAGAAAGACCCTGATGATGACTTAGCAGGAAGTAGTTCTTAATTCCTCTACTGCAATGAGTCTATCCTTCTCAATGTTATTCTATCTTTTACTCATATCTTGATATGCTGTTCAGCATGTTGAATGTAATTAATTCTGTCTGACTGTTTTATTTGATAGTGTAAAACTCTCCCCTAGAAGAGGGGATAGAAAACACTTGAGGACTTAAGAATACTCACAGAAATTAACCAGGTGTATAATTCTGAGAGTCTGGAAGAGTAGCGTAAATGAGAGGTGAAGAAAGAAGAGAAGAAGGAGCAAAGCATATGTAAGTTAAATGTGCTAAAAATAGAACTGTTGCGAAATAAGAGTAATCCCAGAATTACACCCTCCCCCACTTTAAAAGAAAAAGCAATGAATGAAAAAAAGGTCTGTTAGTAAGAGAAGATGTAAGTATAATCCGAGCATGGGTGTGTCAAAACCCTGTGGGAAAAAGCTACCACAGGCAAGGTTGAAAGAAAGCTACCTAAATCAAGGTGAACCAACTAGGGATGCCAACCAACAGTCCAGTGCTTTGCAGTCCTGAAGTTCTGACCCCGGAAGCCATTTGTCATGTTTGGCGCCATAACCTGACCAATGGATGAGATATTGGTAACCACATCCTTGTCGACATGTGTCCAATATTTTGTTGATCATGTATTCTTTGTTTCTGTCATTGGTGATAATGGGTGGTAGTTCTTCCAGGCAGTGCGAAGGGAAAAGGGATGTGTCAGATTCAGTGTAAGGAAGGATTTCGGATGTGTGGAATACAGGGAAGATGTTGGGGGAATTTGGGAGATCCAGTATGACAGTGGAGTGGTCCTTGTTGATGTCGATAATCGTGTAAGGGCTGTCATAATGGGGCATGAACTTCATGACACATTTCTCGCCCTTGGCCTTGTAATCATTGCTTCGATGCAATGTTGATAATCACATGCAAGAACCTATTTTGAAAGGGAATTTCAGTATATGGTGTTTGTTTGATTGAGTTGCTTGTAAAATCTTAGCCTTCAACAAATTATACTGTGCCTCCAGGACATCTGTTTCCAGCATGCCAAGTGTCAATGTCCATTGTGGTAGCATTGGATTTAGCAGGTACAAGTGGGGGAATGATGCAAGGACTGCAGCTAGTGTTCGCAAGTTCAGTTCAGTCCGGTTTTTTGCCCCCAAAACGCGCAACCGTGGACCGCAACCGGTCTAGGACCGACCCGGATATTGAGGGAACCGAACCGAACCACCTAGGACCAGTCTTTTGCGGTCTATGGAGCCGGTTCAGACCGATCCAGACCGGTTTTTTTGCGTATAATTTATTATACCAATATAAACCATTTGTATCTCAACTATTATTACTCTGAAAAATAAACGGGTTCTATAAAATAGTAAAGCATGTAAATACCCGTCATTCCACCAATTTTTAAGAGATGTAATGAAGATTTGACATAGCTATGACTGAAACCGAATTACATCTCCTAGAGACTTGGGTAAAATATGGATTTGGTTATATCTTTCTCAATTCTTAACCGTTTTTGATGAAACAAAAACCCAATAAAATGTAATAAACATGGTTACAAGGGTATGTAACGCACGTGACCGTTTAACCAGTTGCAACCGATCAAAACCGGTCTTTGAACGGTTTTAAAAGATTTTCGAAATGAGGCAACCGGCAACTGGACCAACCCCAAATTGGGGCAACTGCAACCGAAAAAAAGACCGGACCATGGTCCGGTTCAGTTCGGTCCACCGGTTTTTTGCGGTCCTATGGACTGAACCTTTAAACACTAACTGCAGCCCATGCAAAGTTGGAACAGAGAGAAACCAGTGGATTTGTTGATGGTGTTCATCATGTCGAATCATATATGTGGTAGTGCATGGACCCAGCCCATCTGATTATGTTTGACGTGAAATCTCAGGACTTGATTAACTGTTTTGTTGGTCCATTCACTGGTGCCGTCAGTTTCCAGATGATAGGCAGTAGACATTTTTAGTTTAACACCTGTGAGGCAGTGTAATGCCTTCCAGAATCTAGAGGTGAACAGTTTATCCCTGTCAGAGACAATGTCAGCTGGTAAACCGTTCTTGCAATACCTGTGACAGGTGTTCCGTGAGCAATGAGTTGAAGTGGGTTTCTATCCAACAGCAAGGAATCTGATGAACATGGATACTGCAAATGTCGGTAAGGTGTGAAGACCAATCTGTAAGTTTGGTCCTAGTTTAGTGCATACTTAGCAGAGGTCATTTAGGCTTTGGATATCTGTCACACAACCTCTGCTCTCTCTCAGGAAATCCTTGAGGGAGTAGCACATGGGAAATGAGTAGTTACTATGACTGAACACCTCCTAGAGAATGTTCAGAGATCTAACCAAATCAAATCACTTACTTGACAGTAGTAGGAAAGCAGTATGTCACTTAATCCACACGTAAGTTCGATGCAGTGGTAGTTTGATTGAGAAAAAGATGAGAAAAATACACGTGTAACTACATGTGCTAAATACGAGTTGAATCACAGTATTACATAATCAATGTTGCAGTGAATAGTGAAGTCAAATGTGTAAAGGTTTGCTGAAGGTGAGAATGCATGCAGCATTCCCTGGGAGGAAATTATAGGGTAGTGCATCTAGGATTGGGTAATCTGTTACAAAGCCCCCCAATTTCCACCTAGGGGATTGAAGTGAACTGGTATATGGATGTCTGCAACACATTGGCCATGCCAGATATCAGGAAAGTCCTGAAGAAGATCCTCCACCCATGAAAAGTGAGCTTGAGTAAGAATAACATTGGTGCACTTGTCACTGTGGTTTGTGCTATGTAGTGTTCAAAAGTCTGGTTAGGTCCGGTTATTGGGTGCCCAGGGGCTCTAACCGAGACCGAGACTGGTTAGCCTTTGTCCCGGAACCTAAAATAACCTAACCGGACCGCAACTAACCAGTTACGGTCAGTTATTTGCAGTTACTAACTGGTTAGGACCGAAAAATAAAGAATCGGTTATAACAAGGCAAATATGCTCATATGTATCTTGATAGATATTATTTCTGCATATTCTAGCTTTAAAACGAGCCCAAGAACGCTAAAATCAGTGAAGAATTGACATATTTATGCAATTATCCTTGAAAGTCTACACATTTGAGTGATATTTTAGAGATTTGACCGTAACTTAGTCAAATTTTAAGCGTTTTCGACGTTCTCAAGTGCGTTTTGAAGGTGTATAATAGGGCTGGTTATAACCAGTTATTCCATTTTCGAAATCAACTAACCCTAACCGCAGTTAGGTTAGTGTTGCGGTTAGGTCCGGTTATTTTCCGGTTATTTTCCAGTTAACTAACCTAACTTTCAAACACTAGCACTATGAAGGTAAGCCTTCCACCCTTTATGAGTAAGAGGCTTGGCTGTCCTGCCCTCAAGAGCTTTAGTGATGTTGTGGAGGATGAGATCACAGCCTTGTGTCCATTCCCCATGCCAATGATGCAATACTTTACCATCCCCCACATAATCCACATGGACTCCACTGGATTCCACTGGACTTCACTACATACTGGCAATATTCACAAATCTGGACTCCACTGGACTGGACTGGACTGGACTGCAAGCACAAATCTGGACTGGACTGGACTGGACTGCAAATCACAAATCTGGATTCACCCAACACAAAACTGGACTGGACTGAACTTAGATTTCAAAACAAAAAAGAAAATTGAAGTATATTTATTGATTAAATAAATTACTTTTACTACATTCTATGTTACAGAGAGGG